CTTGTTTGTTAAGCTAGCCTAAAATTGGCACACTGTTAATATTGGTTTGCTACACTAATACTCATACTTTTATACATATACGGATATACCTTATACCTTGCAAGTTACAATTAAGGTAATAAAATACAATAAACCTCCGACAGCATATAAAGGCCCGGTGGATTTCCCGTCATTAAAATTAAGGCCTACGTTTGATGGATTCGCTTGACAAAATCTAATCTTTGTAGTCGTTCACTCTTTCAAGTGCTCATCAGATAATATGGCCTGGCATCAAAAGTGCGACACAACACACTTAAAGTAGGGTATACTTTTTAAATGCTATGTCTAATTCATGGATTAATTAAGAGTCAAAAGAAATATGAACAGAAAGTTTCCATTTTTTTTTGCCTTTTAGACCATATAATATGTAGAAAAGGTAACACCATTTCGTATTATAAAAAAGCACTAATGCGCTAGATACTTTGGCACACTCTAGCATACAAAAGTTGCTTTGAATTTTCAATTTATAGGGTGGCGTCTTGAGTTTTGATTGATAATGATGAGATTTTTGAACATTGATTAGATAACTACAATTAGTTGTATATATACTTTTTTCGTTTTAAATTAAATTAGTTGACACTACACATTTTGCTTATCACGTTAATCGATGCATAAATTCAACAGTTGATATGAAGTCTCCATAAATAACTGCAAAATCTTAAACAATATTGTAGAATATCATTGGAAATTGGCATCAATCACAAGGAGTGAAAGTTCAATAATAACTCCCTCGCACTTTCTCTTGTAATTATATGTAATTATTATTTCCGAACAAAGGGATTATTTAAATGGGAATTAGTCCTCCTTTTCCTTAAATGAGCAGAATCATTTCTTGACATTGACCCTAGCTTGCTAGCAGCTAAATGTTGGATTTACAACCAAACGCAGTCTTATCACACTAACACATGATTAGCTAATACAAGTTGAAAGACAAAAAAAGGGTGAATTCAAGCCCACTAGATGATATAATTCACGTGATTTAAGTTATGATTCTAATAATTAATGTAGGGGTAATTATATTATTATAGTGGGTGTCTTATTCTATATGACTATGTAATTAATTCCAATAATCAAATGGATAATGCAACTATCTTTTCAAATTAAAGCTCCTTTTTCTTGTATTATATGAACCAAATCTATGGAATTTTCTCATAACTACATATCATCTATTAAAATTGATTATAAATTTTAATGAAGGTAATCTAGCCAAATTAAATCATTTAAAGTGCTTGCTTTCGAATTTTCCACGATAAATGGATGCTTCAAATTATAGGAGAAGTACAATGCATATGATCACTAAATGTTCTCAACATAATTCATTTGATTTGAGGGATATGACTATGAACCACTATAACACTATATATTAAAAAACATTATAATATACAAGTAGGTTAATATAAATAATTTTATGGGTCATATTTTGTTACCCAATCAATTTCTTCGTACAAAATATACTTTTCTATATATATATATAAAAAAAAAACTAATAGATATTTTATTTTAATTATTTGGGCAATTATCACCCACCATGGTGGGCATTTAATCATAATGTTTTGAGTTAGTGGGGACATTTTTTTTTTTTGCTACTTGTCGCCTTAGGATTTAACTATAACTTTGTGGAAAATTGGAAAAAAATTGTACAGTACAATTGATTATATCTTTTATTTTGGACCAAAGTTTAGTTAGATTTCATATCATTAAGAATTGTCCAATAATAATAATAATAATAATAATAATAATAATAATAATAATAATAATAATAATAATATGAAATGAATTGATTGTTATTATAATGATTTTCTCATGTGTTCCACGGTTAAGTTTGGTGAAAAGGTAAGCTAATTTAGAATTAATATGATAAACTATTGAAGTTAGTTAGATTGGACATACTTTAGTTATATGTGTATTATATTGTAGACATACTTTATCTGAATTTTTCTAAATTGAAGCTAGTTAAATTGGACATACTTTAGTTATATGTGTATTATATTGTAGACATTATTGTTTTATTAGAGTTTTTTTTTTTATCTGAACTTTTCTAAACTAACACGAACTTAATTCAAAGCCAATTATATCATGAAATGAGTACTAATAATCCATCATTAATAAAATTTTATCGAAAGTTGCAAGAGTTAATTAAACTTTTAACAATCAATTAATTTAAAAAGTATCCAATAACATATAAAAAAAGCTAGCCAACTTTTGTAAATGTTCACCTTTGATGTGTAACATTGAAGTTTAGTTTATGTTGCGTTCTAAATCTATTGTTTTCACACTAAGATAACATCGTTTCACACAAATTTTTTAGATTTAAGTATAAGTATTAAATATCATAAGGACTTAAGAAGTAGAATGATATATTCCCATGTAGGTTTGATTTGAAGGATCGAAGGTCATGCGTTTGATATATTTGGGGCAAGTTCAGCGTAATTGAAACCACTAGACAACCATTAGAGTGAAGGAAGATAGATCTCTTGCCTTAGTATAAAGTTTGTTCCCTTTTAGCCTAGATCCACTAATATATAAATAGAAGATTGGACACATTGTTCTAGTTAAGTTGAATATGAGAGTGAAGACCTCGAACAATATATGAGAACTCATAGATTTTATGCCAAAAGAATAAATTGTGTCACGACTCACAATGTTGTAAATGGTGCTAGATTTTTGTAGGTTTTTCTTTTTTGTTGATAACTTTAGGTCAAATTAAATGCATTCATGTCATCGTGATTATATTTTACACGTCTTTTGTGTTAGAGATACACTTTAATTTGTTTGCTTTTTCTGGTGTCAATTTGAAATCTCATGAAACAATGAAATTACGACTTATTAGTAAAGCTCTATGATAAAGATCGGCAAATATGCATGTCATCCAAGTTAAACCACAACAATTATGCCTCAACTATAAGATTAGAGGGGGAAAAAAAAAGTTGTACTTGAATTTTTTAAAATCCAATAACTAATTATTGATGACATTTGCACATTGCACCAACAAAACCATTATTATTGTTATTATAATTATTATTGATGACCTATGGAATATCGGAATTTTAGTTGGTTGGGAGACATGATAATACTCCTTAATTGTTTGGGCCTTGGCCCATAAAACATAGAAAATTGATAGTACTATGGATCCCTAGGTAGCAAACAGATTGACCCAAGTAGGAAAATATAATTGAACAAGGACAAAATATTCGTACAGCCTAAATATGGGCCACTACATGTAGTCCATTGTAATTATTACGTACTTTTTCAACCACCTCCATCCAATGAAGTATTTAGTTATGGCCCACATGTTTTGTAACGAAACCCCAAAACAAATTAAGATTTGGAAGCTACAACGATGGATCACCTTCCTCTTAGTACAACATAAACAATCCTAACTAAGGGTGAGTTTATTGGGGGTTTGGAGTACAGTCTCACTCCAAACTCATGCGTTAATGTAATAAAAGACTCATGTGAGTCTTGGAGTTGGTTTGGAAAATAAAAACTCATCTTCAGACTTTACATGGGAGACAAAGTGCTGCAATAATTGCTCATGAGCCAATCAATACTTGGCACCTCACCTAACAAAGATGGCAATTCAAATCCAAGATTCCCAACGGCTACTTGCATGTAATTTGAACTTCTTCCAACTGCTATATTGCAACGGCTAAAAATTAACGATATTAACTTAAATGAATTAAAGATATATAATTATCGTTGTGTATTATCTCGTCCATAAAAGGTTTTATCGTAATTATCGTTGTGTATTATCGTCCACCTCACCTAATTATCGTTGTGTATTATCGTCCACCTCACCTAAAAAGTTTTACGATATTAACTTAAATGAATTAAAGATAATTAAAAATAAAAAATAAAGAAAATAAGTGAGTCTGGAGTGAGTCTTGGGATAATGTGTGAATTTGGAGAAACTCTTGTATGAATCTGAATAATAAAAAAAAAAACATTTAAAAGTTAGTGGAAAGTTGATGTGACAGAGTCTGGAGTCTGGGTCTGAGTTTGGGGATAAACTCACCCTAAGTTGTACATTTATATTTAATGATGAAGTTTGTGGAGTATAATGATTATATATATTATATTTTAAGAAAATGTCAATTGTATAAATTAGTACAATTGTTGGACTAGATTCACTAAAAAAATAATTCTTGTACTAAAAATTTGATTAATATCCATTTTTGATGATTCAAGATAAACATTTGATGAAAAGAAAAATCATTATGTTGTCACTTGTTGCTGTTGTCTTTGTAAAGAAGGTTTAGGTTGGCTATACCCATCAAGGAAGAGAAGAGTTATCCACTTTGAGTCTAGGAGGAGATTTTGTCCCAAACTATTGACAATTAGAGAATTAGCCCACAAGAAATATAAATGAATATATCTCATATATTCTTTAATATAGGACAACTCACAATATGCAATTTTTTAAATGGAATCTTAACAAATTTCATTACATGCAAGTTGCTCTTTAATAATAATAATAATAATTACTTTCACAATAGGTGTTATTTTAGCTCGTATGACGGTATAGCTGTATTAATAATGATGGTTGAAATCTATAATTACATTATTATAGATAAGAAAAAGACATATACAACCCTTAAGAAGTTAAAACTGGAAAAAATAGACATTGAATAAATATTTATTACATCGATTTACTCGTGAATTGTCGATAAATTCCCAACTTAATACTAAAAAAGGAAGTATATTAAAAGATTGCATATAACATTACCCTTATAGATAATAATAGTACATTTTGTATTGTTTTGAACTTATCAAAATTTTTCAACTAAGCAGAGCCATTATGTCCTACAAGTACTATACAACGTTTGTATTTAAGGATAAAATATAATATCTTACACTTTTATATAAAAAAATGCCAAATTTTAATCTATACAAATTACAATTTTGTCTATCACACAATAGGCTTAGTTCGTCATATTACTTCAAATTAATACATTAATAATTTTTTTTTCATCTGAAATTCACTTATATGACGGTAGTATAGACAAACTATTGAAGCCCCCAACTTGACCCATCGTGAGCCAAAGTTTAATTCATGGGCTTAATTCAACCCTTTGATAACCAAAAATTTATTGTCTAATGGGATTATTTTAGTTACAAACCCATGTAAAATTGCATTGCTCAAGTGTTCAACACACGTTTTTGCGGCGCTTACTCTGAGGAAAAGAACGTGCTTATTACCAAACTTCAAAACAAAATCAGAGGAAGAGCAGAACAAACAGTCATAAATCCTCAAGCTTCAAATCTGCACTTGTTTCCCTCAATTTATCCATCAAATAAAGGTATATTTAATTCCTCAAACAAAATACCCAGAAAAGAAATCATCTTTTTCAGTTTATATTTGATTATAAATTTATAATCTGTTATAGAAGCTTATATTCATCAAATTTAACTGCAAATTTAGTCAATATCTGCTATATTGAGGTGGATTCATTTTATTTCCCATTGAAAATTTATGATGATAGGCAAGATGTTTAATCAGTCAATTTTTAAAATGCTAATGCTTGTATTAGTATGCTGTATGATTGTTGTAGTTCTGTCAATGTTTAAATTACCTGATGTTTCAATTGGGAAAATGAATGATTCCTCAAAAATTAGGGGCATTTATTCAAAGAATGAGATATTGGCTAAATTTGGGGAAATGATGGTTGGAATGTTACCGGATGATCTTGCATTTACAGTGTTTGTGCCCTCTGAAAAGGCCTTTGAACGTGATTTGGGATTAAGGGCAAACCACAGTTATGATCCTAAAGAATTGGACAATGTATATGCAACGGTTTCTCATGTACTAGGTTTTTCGACGATTCCTCGAAAGATTTATACTGATTTACTCCCTGATGGAAAGGGTTTGTCATATGATTCAATCTCTGGATTTGCATTGTATATTTCAAAGGATTTTGATGGGGTTTTGGTTGTTAATAGGGTTAGGGCAAAACAAGTTAATCTTAAGAGAGGTGAGGTGGTGGTTCATATAATGGATGGAGTTGTAATGGATGCTGAGTTTGAGCAGTCAGTTAAGCCAGCTGATGAAGATGAAATGGCAATTAAAGATTGATTTTGGTACTGATTAGTTTTACATTGGTTCTGATATCGAGATTATTGGTTGAGGTTACATGGCTTTATATGAAGTTTGAAGTTTATAGATATTCTATTTCCGTATTTTGTGTACTAATACAGTTGATGGAAGTTGATTTGTCAGTATGATTGTTGAAGCTGGGAAAATTGATCATATTAGTTCAGTCTTCGGCTTCTGGTGCACATATCACATTCAGAAGTGTTTTGCTTATTTTGCTTGGATTGTTGCCTATATACTATTTTAACTCTTATCAACTGGTTTGTGAGTATGGTAGAAGCTGCAAGAGTAGTTCTGGCTGGTAAGTGGTAACAAAGATGAAAAATACTTGCACAAAGTAATGCATAGGATAGAGTTCTGATTTGTTGTTGCTAACAATTTATAAGGCAGTAAACCTGTGTAATGTACCATGATGAAAAAATACAGAATTGCATAGGATAGAGTTCTGATTTGTTGTTGCTAACAGTTTACAAGGCAGTAAACCTGTGTAATGTACTATGATGAAAAAATACAGAATTTTTGACTGAAAAGTAGGATTAGTAAAGCTTTTAGTCTCCATTCTGTAGAACTTTATGATTCAATTGGTTTGAGCATATCTCCAAATAGTTCATAAGTCGATTTCCTGACCTGCAATAGTATGTGTTCACCGGCCTAAACGACGAGCAAACACTCGAACGTGCCATCCTAAAGGTTTTCTGAAGTGACAATGTAAAAAAGAGGGTGCTGCTTATTTCACAGATTGTCATTAGACAAACTAATCTTTTGGTTATTTTGAACACGGATCATTTCTCACAATGTATTCGTGCAAGAGGTAAGGGAGGAAAAACTACTAGCATTTCTAGGAGATTATGTACAAACTACCGAGTGACCCCTCAAAAACCAAAGGAAACAGAGGAGATTACCACCTACGTATAAATATGAAAATAAAAAGTCTACTGTTGTGAAACATACATTAATTGTTGCATGATTCAATGAAATTTTTTGCTTTAGTGGTAAATGCTAATGCTTGGAATTTCCTTCAGGCTCTTCTTTTATGCTCATCTGTAGCTCATCAACTGTGCTGCTGAAACTTTCAGTTTTCCCCATGGCAGTAAGACTTGCATCTTCTGTGGTAACGATGGCTGCTGAATTACCACTTTGCATTTCCTTTAGCATTGTCATAACTTCGAACATCGTAGGTCGTTTTGATGGATGATCATCCAAGCAAGAACAGGCAAGCTTCAAATGCTGCAAGAGCTCTACTTCCAAGTTTGGATCTTCCTTCATCAGCTCAGGATCAAATACATCACTTATTCTCAATTTCGCATGCATCTTAACCCAGCTTACAAGATTATTATAGTCACCGAAATCAGCTGAATCTGTAGGTTGTTTCCCTGTCAGCAACTCCAGCAACACCACGCCATAGCTATACACATCTCCCTTGGTTGTACACCTAAAGCTTTGGTAGTACTCAGGAGGAACATATCCTGGGGTACCAGCCAATGTGCTCACACTCAAATGAGTATCCATTGCACTCATAAGTCTAGCCATCCCGAAGTCAGATACCCTTGCTTCTAAGTTTTCATCTACCAAAACATTACTAGATTTCATGTCGCGATGAATTATGTGTGGGATGCAATTATGATGAAGGAAAACTAAGCCTCGAGCTGCCCCAATCGCTATCTTTCTCCTCACACCCCAATTCAGCTTTATTACAGACTTCTTCGGATCATGTAAAACATCTGCGAGGGATCCATATTTCATGTATTCGTAAACTAACAATCGTTCTTCCCTCACTTTGCAGTATCCCAGGAGAGGCACAAGGTTCCGGTGTTTGATCTTCCCAATGGTTTCCATTTCAGCAGTGAACTCTCTGTCACCCTGCCCACACATATATATCAGCTTTTTGATAGCAACCACACTCCCATCCTTGAGCTGAGCTTTGTAGACATCCCCAAACCCACCTTTGCCAATCAAACTGTCATAATGGAACCCATTTGTGGCTTGTAAAAGATCAGCAAAAGTCAACTTCTGTAGGGGCTTCTCAAATGTTGCAAGGTTGATGCTCAATGCCTCGCGATTACTGGTATATCTCCAAGCAGAAGTTGTGTTACCGTCCATGTATGTATCCTGCAAAACTTCCTTCTTTCTCCTCTTCTTCAGCTCAATGCCCACTATGATCAACCAGAATATGCAGAATAGAGAGGAGAACACTCCCATTGCCACATTTGCTGCCATGGAAGTCTTCCTTCCATGCTTTCTATGATGTGATGAAGTTTCACTTGTGTTTCTGCTGCAAATCGGCAGGGGAAACCCGCAGAGGCCAGTGTTATTGGAGAATCTAGAAGGCGGGAAAGTCTCAAACTGTCCTGTTACAGGAATCATACCTGAGAGGTTATTGTTTGACAAATCCACATCCGTCAAGGAAGAAAGACTGCCTAAAGACGGTGGGATTAACCCCGAGAGATGGTTGTGCGAGAGATACATAACACCGATGTTTTTCATCCCTGCAAGATCTTCAGGAATCTGACCAGAGAGGTTATTATGACCCAAATTTAATATCCACAGAAAGAACATTGTGCCGAGCTCTTTGGGGATACTGCCCTGGAGATTGTTATAGGACAGGTCAAGGAAAATCATGGACCCATTGTGATAAAAATTTGGCTGAGTATGACCTAGGTAGATCTGCTGGAATTTGCATATAGTAGGGATTCTATAAACAGCCTTGCGCCTTATACCGGAAAATTCGAGCAAATTCCCTGTCCCATGGCAACCATTTCCTCCATAGTTTCTCAAGTACCAATACTTTTTACTAACATTAAGTCTAATAGCCCCTGACTGTTTGGGTAAGGCAGGAGGAATACTCCCACTCAACAAGTTGCTATTCAAATCCAACCATAACAAGCTCTTGCATTCCCCTAACTCAGGTGGGATTTCGCCATAAAATGAATTATTTGAGAGCTTGAGGATGGCAAGATTATTCAAGCTACCTATCCAAGATGGTATTGTTCCACTCAACTTGTTACTCGACAACGAAATACAGTTCAAGTTTGTGCAGTTCATCAGGCCAGAGGGAATGGGACCAGTCAACTCATTGTAGTCCAAAATCAAATTTTCAAGTGCTCGATTGTCTGCAAGCTCAGAAGGGATAACCCCATTAAGCCTGTTCATCCACATTACCAAATCTTTAAGCTGGGTTAGAGTACCCAAGCTACTTGGGATCGTACCAGTAAGGAAATTGAAGCTAAGATCAAGCGAAACAAGCTGAGAGCAATTACCTATACTCGGCGGTATAGGGCCAATAAACTCATTGTTTTGAAGGTAGAGCTCTCTCAAGTTGCTAGGCTTTCCCTCAGGATTTTGACAAATACCAGATGGGATTTTCCCTGAAATGCTATTAGAGCTCAAATCTAAAGACTCTAAGCTACTAAGCATAGAGATAGAATCAGGCAAAACACCCTTAAAGAGATTAAAAGCCAGCTTTATTTTCTTCAAACTTTCCATTTTTAGAAACATATCAACAGGCAAATCCCCAGTGAAATTGTTGCTGGAAACATCGAATTTTTCTAACAAAGAGCAAGATTCAAACCCAATAGGGATCATACCAGAAAAATCGTTGACTGATAGATCCAACTTCACCAAAGTTGAGCAAACATCATCAGCAAAATTATGAGGAATCATACCTTGAAAATTGTTGATGCTCAAGTAGAGAATCTCCATACTTTTCAAAGGAAGTGAGGGAAATTCACCTTTGAACTGATTATGAGACACATTTAAGAAACTCAAGTTGTTACACTCTACAAGTGAGTTCTCAATCTTACCAACAAATTTGTTTGAAGACAAATCAAGATGCTTCAAATTAAGACAATCTTTCCCAAAATTAGGAATTGGAGTCGAAAAATTATTGAAGGAAAGATCCAAATACTCCAAATTTGAGCACCCAAAAAGAGAAAAATTTCCCTCAAGTTTGTTCCTCTTTAAATTTAAGTGACTCAAATTCTCACACCCTTGAGATAATACCCATGGAAGAACTTCCTCCCCAGATAATTGATTCCCAGAAACATCTAATGTTTTGAGGGAAAGCCCATAAACAACATCACTCAAATTTTTCGTAGAATCTAATTCATTGAAAGAGAGGTTTAAACTTGTAAGTGAGGAACAAGTTGAAAACCGCGGCAAATTGAAAATTGACCCTGAAATGAAGTTGTGGGAGAAATCAATTTCTGAGAGAGAAGAAGAGCAGAGAAAGAAAGGTTGAAGAGACCCAGAAATGTTGGAAGATGAGAGGGAAAGAGAAGTAAGGAGCTCAATGGAGAAAAGATAAGTAGAAACAGAGTAAAAATCAGTGGAAACAGAGAGTGAGGTGAAATCTAAAGAAGTAACCCTGGAATTGTCGCAGAAAACACCAGTAAATTGACATAGATCAGTGGAATTTTGCCAATTTTGAAGGATTTCTGGGTTAAGGAGTGAAGATTTGAAGCTCAACAATTTCTGGGCATCTCTAAGTTTTCCATTGGAAGAAAGAGAAGCAGGTGAAACAGGGGAAAGTAATGGTGGAAAGAGAGTAAAGAGCAATAAAATAGTGTAAATTTGGTTCATTTTTTCTGGGTAGATATTCATTGAGCTTGTCTACTTAGTGGGTTTCAGTGGTTGAAGTTTAAAGTGTGCCATTATTGAGAAAGTTGAGAGCTTTGAGCAATGAAGAGAAAAAAAAAAAACAGGATACAGAGGAGAGAGAAAACAGAGAGTTGTGAAAATGTGTAATGGTATTAGAGTAACTGTTGATTGGTTTTTCTAATTAAAATTTTTGGGGTGTTTGTATAGTGAAATCCTCAAAAGACAATTTTATTGACGAAATTCAAACTTAAGTTTTCGACACTAAATATTTCTTTGGTTTCTCATTTGTTTTTGATTAGTTTTAACACTTTCTTATGGTAAATCACTATGACAGAGTACTTCTTAGTTTTATGCCGCTAACTTTACTTACACTACAATTCATTAAGAGTGTTTCTATAAACTTTTCTTATTTTGGTCTTTAGAGAGTCAGAACTCACAAGGGCGAGTAATATAAATCGATCTCAGGATCCTATGGAATAGGAAGAAAGGCTATAACCACGTGAGCTATCTCTCAATCTCAGTATTTTTGTAAACTTTGTACACACTTTACTATCGCAATTAATTAAAAAAAGGGGGTTTTTGTGTAGTATACGTTTAAGTTTTCTTAATGTGTATAAATATTCAATAATCATGGAATCCGTATTCAACACACATGTGATTATGGCCATATATGGCAAATTGGCAATAATATTGGTTCAAAGAGGATGATAGATAGATAGTTAGTGTTGGGACCCATGTATAATTTTGGCGTTGTAGGTTGACAAGTGAGGGTCCAGTGACTGGGAGGTGCACGTGGGTTCAGGGCTTTGTTCATACTCCTACGGTCCAGCCTAATATTGAATGATGGAGAATTTGAGTTTGTAAGAATGCAAGAAGAGAGTGAAAGATTACCAGAAATGATAACTACGTGATATTACAAATGCCCTTTTTTGTGATTCATATTTAATCGCATTCATCTACTCTCATAATTGAGGACAATAATCCACAACAATCCAAAATAAGTGTCTACAATCTACATAGCAGAGTTATCTTGACATACGGTGAGTTACGACAGACCACAACGTTAGGAGATTATCCTACGTCTATATCGCCTCCTCCAAATTTGTACCAACTATGCGCATTTGAGCATACACATTTAACACATCCACAACAATGACCAATGATACATAGCTTCATCATTGAAGTGAGTAATCGCCAAACTAAGGGTTGAATAAGTTCAAATAAGTCAAAACAAAGTTACGACCACCCCTAGAATAGATCAAAACAGTAGAGCTAGTAACGAGTAGTTCACAGTATAAATCTAGTATTATACCGGGTTAGTCAGTCATATTAAGCTCTACATTTCACCTATTTCCACCATTGTTCCCAACATTTTCATTAACTTCAATGAAAAACTAGGGCAAGTAAATCCAATAAAAGATGATTTTGGATGTTTATCAATTTAGGACCGTAGCCCTGTAGTTGAGTGGCTGAAGTAAAAATGAATATCAATTCTACGTTTCAACTGAACTGGACCGATCGAACTAGTCTAGATCTGTTCCAACTTGTACCTGAATATCCAAAATGTGGACCATTTTATAGTCTAGGTTAGAACGTAGACATGACTAATGATTTTGACAACTTCATCCCACCTTATAACGACGATTTAGAACGCCAATAAATCATACGATACAGAATCAACCACATAAAAGGGCGTCAGCCCACACAATAGACCATATATACTATCTAACCTTTGATTACCCCAATTGCAGCTGCCTTTCAGCCTCGTCATCCTTAAATAATAACTGGTTGACAGCAAACACTAGAAACAAAAGCACTTGCCCTACAAGGCTACAATGACACATTCTACAAGCCTCCCAAAACCATCACTACATGGTATTATCTTACTCGGCCGTAGGCAGATGCCCAACTGACGTGACAAACAACATAGATAGGCCGAGAGCAGTCCAATTTAACTATATCAGCACCTGATGGCAATAATGTTATGCTTGGCAAAACAAAAGCACCCCTAACCACTCAAACAACTGCAACAGATGGATAAAATCTAAATTCTTGTACTGTCAACCAGCTTATAAGACTTTCAGCAATTTTTAGTCTCTACAACTCATGAGTTATTAATAAATTTTCTACATTATAGCTCAAATATATGAATACATACCTCATCTTTAATTAAGTCTTTTGCATGAAAATGTTAGTAGCCCCAGGCTGGAGACCTTAGTAAGTAAATTACATAATCATGTTGACACAGCACTTGCGCAGCATAAAAACTGCAAGAGCGAGCACATGAATGTCATCGTAATCAAGCTACCAAACATGAAAGATGCAGCAGCATCTCAAAATATGAGGTACTATGAAACAGATGAAAACAATGGCATCTTTCAAACATCTAACACTTTTAAAATATCTGATTTGTCTCTTCAACTCATGCAATGGGTAATTGAACTGCCTTCCCAAGTCCCAACTTTGCAAAGCAAAGACAAACTAGGCACATGTAAGCAAATTTCATCCCAAATTCTAGATATAGCAGTGAAAGCAAAATCTGTACTCTTCCTGAAGCTCATTAACTATGCTACGGTTCTTGAATTTAGCTCCCTACTGCAGCAGGTACAGCTAAGGGCTTCGAGTCTTCTGCCTTCTCATGCTCCTTGTTGAGCATCTAAAAAAGCACAAATAACAAAACAACCAGCAAATTAGTGATAGTTTCTTTGGAAATAAAAAAAGGTTCAATAATTAATATTCTCAATAACACCAGTTATCTTTTAGAAAAATAGCTCTATAATGAGTGATCTTAATACAATTTGGCTAGCATATGGCAGATGCAATGTTATGATGTTAACCCAAGTTCAATGCAACCCTGTTACGCAGCCTAAGTTAGCATTAGCTGCTTCTGATGAAGTCACATCTAAAAGTATTAACCAGAGAACAGCTAAGAAAATCTGATACTTGAAACCCAAATTTTTACACAATGACGATATTTTTCAAAGTTTGAAAAGGAGGGGGAAACAGGGATACACAATTTTCGGAAGATTAATACAAGATATTACAAATCATAAGCCAATGGTCATGATAAAGCAAAGGGTCCCAACCATTGTCAACCCTCAACTCCACACACTCCAACAAAGGGCACTCCCTACAAACATCAATATATTTGAGCACACCAATCATGATAAAACCAAAAATAAGTAGCGAAGGTCCCAACCAATCACAAGCCAAGTGCCCAAAAAAAAAAATCCCAAAAACTATCATTTTTTATAATGTTTAGTGACAGTTTTGTTACTTCAGGTTGCCATCAATAATTCCCATAACAACGAACAGTCAAAGCAGGTCATAATGACTCAGAGCAACTCCAAATTAGACTACACTAATGGAAAGGAGTAACATAGGCATTAGAGATAATAGAGAATAAAAAAAAAGGTTGTAGAACGGGTAAGTTAGAGCCAGTAGGCAGAGAAAAAGCCATGCAGGATATTGAATTGCTAATTGCTAACTTAGTTTTCAGTCAAGCTCGTGGGAGTGATTCGGGCCACAGAAAAGGTTTTATAAACCTATCATCTATTAGTATTTTCATTTATAAATCAAATTCCCCATTAATCTTACTTCGAAATCTGTCCTAAATATGTTAAACGATAACAAACATCCAATAGCAATATTTTTATTTTTACTAAAGTCAACTAAGCAAGAACTCACTCAGAATCTTAGAGTGAGTCTTAGTCAGAGACACCAAGAGCACCTGCTTTTGCATTTAAAAAAAAAAAAAAAAAAAAAAAAAAAGAAAGGAAAAAAAAAAAGGTGCACCTACTTAATTTCCTAAAAAGTGAGTATATTAAAAGAAATTCAATTAATAAAATAAATTTAAAGACCACAAAACTATCATGTATGTGAAAAACACTGAAAATTTATTGGCCATATTACGTAGTACATATTATCTATATTTATGAGAGAGAAAATTTTCACCTTGTTGTTAATCAAGTTGTGGAGGGCGATCACACTTCGGATAAGAGAAGACAGATATATAACCAGCATCATGTCATTTGTTTTGACTGCAAAAACAAGCAGGCACACAATCACAAAACAATACAAAACTTCATACAATATTCAAAAAAGAAAAAAAATATACTTTGTTTTCATACCTGCAAAAGCCTTGACCAACTCAGGAGCACTAAGATTAGGGAGAAGGTTGAACACATCCTACAAAAATAATAATAAAATAAAAGGCAAGAAAAGTTCGTTAATAGATGTAAAAATTAGCAATGAACAAAGGCTAAATCACATTTGATTAGCAAAAAGGTTGAAAAGACCTACAAGAAAAAAAAAGAAAAAGAAAAAAAAAAGAAAAAAAAAAAAAAAAAAAAAAAAAGAAGAGAGATTTGCTCACAAAATAAGCTTACACTTCCTCTGCTTTTTAATTTGTCTCACTTAAAATCTTGCACAATTTCCAATGCAATCTTGTAATAACAATATCTTTTGGTACATATTACAAAAAATTACAGAAAAATTACATATTTGAGACCTAAAAAAGGACGATAGCAACAAGATCCAACACGGCTAATGTTTTGAAGTATATTTTTACCCTTAAATTGTTAGATTTCATTTAGAATGGAATTTCCTTAAGATTCCGAATGAAATAAATATAAAAGAAAAGAGGGAATAACAATAGATAAAGATGTACAAAACAAAGGGTAAAATTACAAGGAAAATAAACAATTTGCGCACACAAATATAAAATAAAAACAATTAATGGTTCTTCACAGTTTAAGGAGATCATGAGTTCGTGACACAACACAAGCAACCTAGATTTGGTAGAATTATATCACCGTTCATTCATTCTTCAAGAACGGTTTTACATGGGGGTGGAATAAAGTAATAGACAATGTCAAGATTTTCCCCATCTTTTAAATATGAAAGGTTATCATACAAAATACATAAGTGGCTCAGTATTTAGCAAATGGGGATTCACTAAATCACCGTAGAGCAACGCTTTATCAAATAAAAACAATTCGAGTGGGAAAAGTTTCCCGTAATCTCAATATATAGTTAATAATATCACGCCTCATTATGTCAGAAACTACACACCAAATTTTCATCTACATTTGTCTACAATTTTCTAATCCTTAAATTAGATACAAGCAGGCAAGCAGCTACATAGGCTCACATCCTAGACATTATTAATGGCAGAAAGGACCTACATATATTGATAACAAATAATCATGCCACGAAGGTTTAAGAACCCATGCAAAAAATTTCAATGAACAAACCTGCAAATGGTACAGTATTTCATGGTTGAGTGGGAGTTTTCCCTCTATAACTAGTTCAAGATAACTACGAATCTCTCGCAAACGAGCATCTAGCCCCTTGAGTGCTGCAAGTTTCCCAGTCACCTGCACATGAAATAAAAGGGTTAGTATCCTCCAATTAATAACATGATGACAGATAAAAATCTAAACACTTTTCAATCTTTTAAGCATCCAAAATGAGGATAACTGTAAGCCAAAAATAGCAAATTGTTGGAGAGTTACCTCTGTTGCTAGAGTACTGATGGTTGTATCCTTCACGTCTCTAAGCAAGTGCTCCACTCCTGCAAGA